AGATGATAATGATGATGAAAGTGGCCAAAAAGTTGACAACACAACCCTATTCCAATCGTAACAAAGACGTGTTGCGACCTTTTTGGTTACTTCGGGTGTTACGAATATTCGACGCTGACTCTACGAGCGAAACAATTGATACATAGAATCGTTTCGTAGTGAAATATACTTATTACGTCATTAGTAGTTTTTTGCACGGTTAAAGTAGACGAATTGGCTTTTTGTACGAGGCAAAAAGTGGCATAAAAAAATGTATGACCAGTGGTCATCTTTAGTTTCGTGAGTTAAACAAAAAGATACTTTGTTACTGGAGAATTAATAGGTATAATAATAATTATAGCTTTACTACATTAAGCTACAGTACACTTATTCGTTGCAAAGTAGCACCTATTAGAAATAAATAAGATGCGATTATATTCCCACCTCCAGTAGCCAGGATCTACAGCTTGACCGCCAATAAAAACCCAGCCAGTGAAGGTCAAGTTTGTCCCGGTTATGCCATCGTCCATATAAATGTGACCATAATGGTTATCAGGCGATTTAATCTCCACTCCAAGAGCATCCTTATCTAATTTACCAGAGGCAAATGGAGGATTGGCAAGGCATATAGCCATATAGGGCAGTAGGTGCAGTAGGTGCAGCAAGGTTCTGTAGTGAGGGCCACATTCAGGAAAACGCAGCATAGAACATCGACCTACAAGGTGGATCGAAGACCTCATAAAGGTAGCAGGAAGGCGCTGGATGCAGGCCAACCTGTCAGTATGGGAATCATTGGGGGATGCTTATGTTCAGCAGTGGACGTCCTGTGGCTGATATGATGATGATGAATGGAGATTTTGGTCTACATTCCCCACGCTGGCCAGACGGGTTAGGTAGACCTTTACGTACTAAAATTATCTAAACTCCTTAGACATTTCTCTCAACTACCATTACAAGACAACATACAGAATACAAGCAATTTTGTGTTTACATGCGCTTCAATGATAACTCCTCTGCGAATAAATGAGCCATTGTTAGTTAGTGGGTTATCTGCCAGATAAGAGATGTCTATGATAACATTATGACTGTTTTACGGAGAACTAAACACGCTAGTTTAGGTACAGTCAGCGTCAAATAGCTCTGAACACCCAGAGTGGCCAAAAAGTTGACAGCACAACCTTATTCTAAATGTAATAAGGACGTGTTGCAAAGTTTTTGGCTACTTTGGGTGTCATGAACTATTTGACGCTGACTGTACGTTGAAATTTTTAGAAACTTTTATTCAGTTTCACCTGTCCCTGTCTATCGCACCGCTTTGCACTGGTGGCCCCTCCTTCGAACTTTAACTTCGAACTCCTCCTATGTTCTTCTGATTAATTTCGTTGCGCGTCCAATGACGGTTTAACTTTCCCCCGGGACAAACTTGACCTTCACTGGTTGGGTTAATGACGATCAAGCAGTAGATCCTGGCTACACAGGAGTTGCAGCGGTGGGAACGAGAGGTGGGAATAGTATCTGATGATAAGCGTATAAAAGCTTGTTTTAAAAATGATATTTCGTTATTTTTTTCTATTGAACGGGTTCTTAATTATAAGAGTTCAAAGTTTAAAACGACCTTGTTAGTATACTCTGCCCAGCATTTCGTTAATGCATTTTAAACCATACTAATTGGTATTAAAGTCGTTTTCGCATTCACTCATTCTGCGACACCGTTGCGTGCGCGTGCGCCGAGTTTCTGGGAAATAAATACCGTTCGGTGCGAACTGTGGGTGTTTACGTGGAAAACTTGACGTTAGTGACAGTACATCATGGTGATGCTACATTTGACGAAAAACCACACCTATTGCAATTGGAATAGGACCCCAATCTTTCCGTGGATGTCGTAAGAGGCGACTAAGGGACGAACAGATATCAGGCCTTCCCAACCAACCCGTCTGGCCAGCGTGGGGAGTGTAGGACAAATCCTCCATTTGCCTCTGGTAAATTAGAGGGTCGTACTCCTGCAGTGGAGACTAAATGACCTGTGTGCTTTACTATGAGTTTACGTTAGGTATCCTAGTTACCTTCTAGAACTAAAACCTCCATAGAATTTTTTGACGTACTCGCTAGCGAGCATACCTAACGTAAACTCATGGTAAGCACAGTACGATAGATAACTTGGAAAAGGTTGCATATTAACTTTTGTCCGCAGCTTTGGATCTTCCTAACTTTCAATAATGCGCATAGCAAAATATTTAGCCAGTCTTTATCAGTCGCAATTGCTCCGACAAAGAACCTATATCGATCTACAAAAAACATGGGATGAACATTTTAATTCCATATCCCCTGACCCGTTTGAAAGAGGATCGCTGCGGATCTTCCTAGCAGTTTAAATAATGCTTTTAGCAAGTCAACATATTTATTTAGTCATTGTTTATCTATTGATCCTACAGAGAACTTCAAAAAACCGATCTATAAAGAAATGTGAGATGAACATTTTAATTCCATATCCCCTGACCCGTTTGGAAGAGGATCGTTGAGGGCGCCACTTACCCGTCAGAGGGAGGGCCCTTTAGATGCCTTTTCAGTTTCATCTTTTAGCTTTAAAACCGATCATCGTTTTACGGGTATTAAAAAAAATGTGTCAAGGTAGAGCTAGAGAAGGTCTGTTAAAAAATTTTGCAGCACATTAATCAATTTCTATGATCTTTACTAAATAGTTCACAAATTACAATTATATTTAGTAGTTATAACTTATAGGTGATGATTGATAAACGTTAGTAGCATAAGTACATTAGTAAAGAACTTATACAAATACTTATCTGAACCAAAAATGGTGTACAAGTACAACCTACAACGGAAAGTGATTTCTTTTCTGCAAATAGATTTTTAAAAAGTGCTTTTACACGTCCTATTACTAACCCTACCACTGCTACGGGACAATAAACGGGCCAGTGCTGAGAAGAAGCAGCGCAAGAAACGCGACCTCAAAAAATTATAATAAAAATAAACTTTTTTAAAAACAAGCTTTTATTCTGAATTTCGAAAGTTTGTATCGCGCATGGAATTTATTCCTCTTTTTCTCTGTTTGCGCTACAAGCTTTCGAGATTCAGAATAAAAGCTTGTTTTTAAAAAAGTTTATTTTTATTATAATTTTATTTTACACTTTTAGTTATATCTTAATCTCAGGACCCTGGACATTATCTAACACTAAAGTGCTCGAAAAGACAAATCCAACGAACCCAAACTCGATGAGTATTATATGTATGATATAATACTCATCGATCGATCGATATTCCTGTGGCACCTCTCGTTCCAAACACATAAAGTGAAACAGCTTCCTTCATATGAGGAGAGACTAGCCCACTTTAAACTAGATAGTCTAAAGGACCGCAGGCTTTTGCTTGACCTGGTATTCCTTTATAAAATCATTAATAGTATTGCGGACTGCCCATTTTTGTTAGAATTAATAAATCTCAATGTTCCCTTTAAATTGGCACGTCGCGCTAGGTATGTTCCGTTTTATATTAAAGGCTGCAAAAGCAATTTAGGTCACTACGCCACCATGAACAGACTCCAAAGACAGTTTAACAGTATATCAAGGAACCTCGATCTTGATCTAGATATCTTTCGGGACAAGCTATCTTCATTTAAGCGCAAAATCCTAAACAGCTTCGCATCGAGTCGCTGGCGAAATGTTATTCCAGCTAAATAATACTCGCTGAAGAAACTCTTTTCTTTAAGTGTAGACACTGTTTATGTATAAGTCCACTTTTGCATGCCGTGGCAACCTATAATTAAGGCAGCACTTAGATTAAGTTAAATACGTTGTAAATATTGATTGTCTTCCAGTGTATGTCTTGTTGGTTGTCCTATTAAATAAATAAATAAAATAAAAAATAAAGTATCCGCCGTTTTGTTTAGAAGTTCCTATGGCCACCTCCCGACTCCATCATCAGACCAGCTGAATGGTACCATAATATTGCATTGTCATCGTACTTACATAAGTATACCAAATTTCAGCTCAATCGGTTGAGGAGAACTGGTCTTAAATTCAGTTGCAAGATTTGTCCTACACATACTAACAAGTGAAGTCAATATAAAGCTTGTAATAATAAAAACAGTATGGATGGTACCAAAGATTTCTCTTGACTTTTCCCCTTAAATACTGTCATTATAAACAGGTCATTAAAATATGAAAAGCCACACAAATAAGGCAAGTCGGAAACTGGAAGTTCAGTTTATTTACAATACAAGGTCGCTTATTTTGGTCGGTCTACTCTAAACTGGGGTCGATGCTGGTTACTGGGGCAATAGCATCTCGAATTAGGGAGTAATGAGGTAAAATCGAGTTTTATAAAATCAAAAATCAAAATCAAAAAAAAATATTCAGTTTAGACCACAAGTGGCTTATGAACGTCAATAGAAAATAATAAAAAAAGAAAAGGTAGCCCTTATGGGGCAACCTTTTTGGAGGGCATTATCGATAAGTGTGACGTCGCGAAACGAGGGTATGTTATGATGACCATCACGTCGCGAATATCAACATTATCAACGTCATTATGTCACACACTTATGGCGGCTTATGAAGATTGAAGACAGATGGCTCAAACTGACAGTTTGCGCGCCACATTTAACATCGCTGTGTTTTCTTTATATTGGACTAGCTGACCCGGCGAACTTTGTTCCGCCTTAATGGCAATAAATAAGCAAACTTTTTTTTTTAATTTCGAACGGGATAAAAAGTATCCTATGTCCTTCTCCTGGCTCTAAACTACCTCCCTGACAATTTTCAGCTAAATCGGTTCAGCCGTTCTTGAGTTATAAGTGTAGTAACTAACACGACTTTCTTTTATATATATAGATACTTAAGACTATTGGATTGTTAGCGACAATAGCCCAAGTCGGTTTCCGACTGGCCAACTCGAGATCCGAGGAACACTGGTTCGAACCCAACCGCTGGACTATTGTGGTGAACCCTCGTACCACAAGCACATTTAGGCACGAGGGGTTTATGGGATTATTGGTAAAAAAAACTCACCCGATCAGAAATCGCCTCTTCCAACTTCCCTCTCTTCAAGCCCGGTGCGCGAATCACATTCGCCGGTGGCGCCACCACGGCAGGCGGCGCGGCGCTCCCGGCGGCACCGCCTGCGCCGGCCGGTATGAAACCTGCTTCCATCACCAACGCATTCCCGCCACTTGCCAATAGATGGCGCTAAACACCATAACTAAAACACTACCAATTCACTGAACGGACGTATGAGCCATTGCGAGGAACTTTGAGCACTTTGGAACGGATTTTTTTATCACTTGGCACTAAATTATCACTTAAACACACGTTGGTTCAGAACGGACGCGTATCGTCCTCTCGCTCCATCGGTATCTGCGAAAGAAACAAGACGAATTAATATGATAATTGACAAACAACTTCGTAGTATTGGAAAGGTCAGAGAGAACAGCCAGTCAATTAAATATCAAATCAATTGGGAAAAATATAACAAACAAGTCGCTGCAGTCACGTGCCTGTGTGCTAGAGACACCTCAACTGATTAAGCCATGTCATATTATCACACGCTTTTATATTTCTTTGTGGAGGACTTACAGATTCAGCCAAAACGAAAAAAAATAATAAGTAAAGCCCGGTCCGTGAGCACGTAGAATTTCGTCCAATGACCCCTAGCTACCCATCCTTATCGCTCGCGCGTAATTATATTGCTGTCGCGACTGTGGTCATTGGTCAAAATTCTACGTGCTCACGGACTAGACTATAGTAGTGCAGTAGCCATCAAGAGATGGCGCCTCTGATATCTGGGCACTAGGCCAGTTGTTACACAGCCCTCACGAAGTCACGACAGAAGAATCTCAACACCTGTGTGCTTAGTATGAGTTTACATTTAATGTACCTAATGAGTTTACACCTAATAGGTGTATACTGTGTTTACTAGCGATAGCGACTGCGTAAAAAAATCATGAAATGTATGACAGACTGTTTTGTATGACAAGAACTAAAATTGACATAGATTTTTTACGCACTCGCTAGCGATGACATTAAATGTAAACCATTTTATGTAAGCTCATGGTTATGGTAAAGCCACTGTCCTGGCTGTACTATCTCAGCTACACCGTCCGGTTCCACGATGGACGGTAAATTTTAATTTTATCAAGGTCCATTATCTGTATATCACCAGCAGGTAGCCGCTCGATTAGATTACGCTAATTTGTGTATAACGTGTTTACTAGTTGTTCAATGTCAGGTGTTTTGGCGGGAATTCTAATAGTTTTGGATGTTGCCTAATTATGTTCATTGATAAAGCGTGATAAGGCAACCAATCTGAGGTGGAATTGTGTATAGCACAAGCATATTACCAGGCCTGTTCATCTCCGCGAGTTTACATCGAAAACAAAACACGCACGATGCCCACCTACAGGATACTATTCGACAAGGCCTCACGTACGCGCGAACATTGACTCACGCACGCGTATTCTTGTGTAACATGGAAGAAAATAAGAATATGGTGTACTAAATACTGTGCAGTATTTAACTTCCTAAATACATAATAATAAAAACATAGAATGTACTTTTTTAAGTTGCCTCAAGACACTGAGAGGTAGGTACCTAAATAAGTAGTTAATATTATTCATGATAATTCATGCTAAATCATGTATTTCCTCCGCCATTTTCCGCAGTTTGGCACCTCACGTCACATCATTTTACCGAAGTCAGCCCTATAGCTTCGGCGCAGTGCCGATCACTGACGTTTGTCAACAAAATGGTGCTTGACTCTTGAGACAGGCTAAATTACACCATATTGTTAACGACATTGAGCATACATTTTTTTAAATACGTAGTACTTATTATTATTCTGTGATATTACTACATATTTAGCTTCGCTCGAGGGGTTAACGGGACTATTAGTACGAGTAATTTGTATTGCACAAATACTTTATTAAAAAAAACTCTTTTTTTCTACTGAATACGTGCAAATCCATGCAAACCACGCTCAAAGAAGCAAAGACTACTCAATAAATCATGTTTAATTTATTTTTTGTATCTTCAAAACCTCCATAATGGCGTCTACCAAACATCATTAATCAAATCCACACCACAATTAAACTACCTTTCTTTTTCGCGAAATACCCAAGGTCACAGACTCACAGAAAGCTTTTGTACAAAAACCTTTGATAGACGCCAGCACATCAAATTATACATTTGTATTGCAAAGTCGCCTCTATACCAACTACATAAGAGACTTCAATGTTCAGCTTGTTGTGCTGTCGTTAAGACATTAATCAACGTAGACTTTTGTTGGTTTAAATTTAACCTGTCGGACTAGCAATTTATGAAAGTTCACTTTTGTTTGTTTAGCTACTAACTAGTCTTTTGATAGAATATTCCACTTTTTTGCAGAAAAAGGCAGGTTTTTGACTGCAACCTGATGTTAAGTGAGATGCAGTCTAGGATGTCAAATTCCTGCCCTGGAAGTGCCTGTTCACTCTCGCCTTGAAGAAGATTATAGGGCTCAGGAAAGACAGCAGCAGGCAGGCAAAATAAATTCAGTCTCTAGCTGTTCGCATCCAGGTCCTTCCCGTGGCCTTTTCCATATCGTCGGTGCCGTATACGTTCACAAACAAAAAATTATTAAGGCCGAGTTGCACCACCTAATTTTGACCGTAACTCTAACGATAACCGGTGTTTTTTTGTATGGAGTTTGACAGATTTTTGACGTTTGTCAAAGTTAAAGTAAGATGGTGCAGCAACCCAGCCTAAGAAAAATAAAACCAAACTGCTAAAGATGACGCTTCTCTTTTCCGCCAAGAAATCCACTAAACTGGTTACAAAAACATAAATAACTGGGGAAACCCTAAGACTCCCTGCAAACTTCAGACTTTTTGTCGGCCGATAGTTTGGTCAGCTTCTAATTTGTATGCGGAATCGGCCGATACCAAATCGGTGTAATATGCGTATTTCCCACAGATCACAGAAACTAAAGGGAGATGTGACAAGGGGGCGTGGCCGGTGTCGCAGCAATATGCCCAAAAACAGAACACATTGCTGCAGACGTCATAATGTAAACAGTTTACATTGCTTGCGTAGTACTAATGATTATTCGAACGTTGAGTACTGATACCGCAGTGGTTAATGAGCATAATAGGATAGTTTCCTAAAAAAAATTTTTTAGTCCGTCATGTTTAA